GCTCGATTATAGTTGTAAACGTGTTATACTATACACTTGTGGCACGTTTTGATTGATTTGTGATGATCATGCTATTGAAAATGTGATGTATCCTTGTGTGCCACTCCCTTTGAAAGGAAAAAAAAATAAGAAATAAAAGGTGAGTTCGTGAGGAAGTACGGATTAGGCTCCTCTTATTCTGAGCCACTTCGTGGACTGGGATAATGAGCCCGGGAAACCGGTCTAGGAAACTCAAGGAAACCCCTCGAGGTTAAACCTAGATAAGCATCGTCTGGAAATCTTGTTTGGAAAAAGAAGCTCACGTTAATGAGTTCGTGAGAGTTGAAAGGATTAGACTCCGCTTGACCCGGTTAGTCTCCTTTCGATAGATCGGGTCAATGAGTACGGAAAACCGTCCTAGGAGACTCAGAGAAAAACTCTGAGGATAATCCTAGGTAATAATCATCCTAACGGCTCTCATTTGGAAAAAAGTAGCTCATTGTAAATAAATAAATAAATAAAAAATAAAGAATAAAGAGAAGAAAAATGGGGAGTTGGCTTATTGGTTTCATGTTTCTCATGTTTATATGTTGAGTAGACTATTTATAGTTTTTGCACGTGTTTGTAGAAAAAAGGAGTATGAATCGGGTAATCATGTGTAGACTAACTTGGGACAGATTTTTGTTTTAAATGGATTCAGTATGTAGGGACCATGTTTTCGGATTGGAGTTTGATTTTATGGATAACTGGATGAACATCATTTCGCATGCTCATTAATTTTGGAATTTTCAATTTTTCTTTTCCAACTACTTGTTGTTTTGTTTGCTTGAGGACAAGCAAAGAGTTAAGTGTGGGGGAGTTGTTTGTTATGTTTTTGTGCTTATTTTCTTGTGTTTTATGTGTTTTCATTTTTTTTTTTTTGTGTTCTTGTATTTCGGCGTATTTTCTTGTCTCTTTTGGTGTGTAGTTTAGGTCCATTTTGTAAACTTCGAGAAGATGAGACGTTCGTGCCGTTTTTGAGCCATTTCCGAGCCACCCAAACTAGCATCGTGCCACCCGAACCAATGACCTAACCAAACGAGCCATCACCCGCGAGATAAAAGTCAAGAGCCGCACCGGGAGCTCGCTGCGAACCCTTGTTCACAGGACGCGGGAACCCGTGCCCATGTACCAGACCCACCTCACACTCGCGGTGACACGAGACTCGCGACCTGCGAGAACGCCAGCGCCGCACCCCAGCCTTGGCCCGGACTCGCCGTGAGAAGACTTTGGCACTCCGCGAAGAAGGCGAGAGCGCGGCAGACCCCAGGCAGCACTCGCTGCGAGTTTGAACTTGCGTCCGGCGAAGCGGTGTTTGTAGTATTTTTGGGCATGTGGTAACCGAGCTACCCGACTCGGGTCATTCTCAAAGGAAGACTGTTCGGAGCTTCGTTCACTACCCAGTCGTCAAAGTCACATAACCAAAAATAAGGTCCTACACATTCTACTCGCTTGATAGGATATGATTGCACGAAATTGAACTAAGACTCTAAGAGAAAATAATGAAAAATGCAAGAATCGAAAGAAAGTTCAAAGCATTGGTTGCACTGAGTATCCATAACTCAAGAAAATAAAAGAAAACAAGAGAAAACATGCGAGCATAGTGATCCTAGGTAATCTATCATGAGCTTTCTACACTAAATCATCACGCTTTGAACAAAATCGAGACCTTTATACTAGATAAGCACGTATAGATTCTCAACACACGAAAGCAAGCAATGAAAATAAAGCAAAAATGTAGAAACGAGCATAAACACAAAATTCGACAATCAAACTCGAAGTAGAAGGGCCTAAGCTAGGTACCTACTCTCCCATCGCATGCTTGAACAAAAATAGTGAATAAAGCTCGAAACTTGAATAAAAATAAACTCGCCGGAATTTCGCCAAAAAATTGAGTCATGGACCTCCCAACCAAAGCATAAAAAAAAGAAAAGAGAGAGAAGGGAGAAATAGAGAGGATTTCCCAATTTAAAAGTTGAGAAATGAGGGGTGATGTCCAAAATTACAAAGCACAATATCTATTTATAGCTACACCACAAACACACACTAGAAACACACACATTTAATGAAATTCTGAAGTTCGCAGGGCTCGAAACGGGATTGGCAGCGAGTTTGCGTGGGTCCGGACCCAGTCATGGTCCGGGACGGCTTGGGTGGTTCGGTTGGCTCGTTTGGGTCGGTCGGGTCGGGTCCGCCGGCTTGGGCGACTCAATCCGGTCGGTCAGCTTGGACGGCTCGGTTTGCTCTAATTTCTCGCACGCTTATCCGATTTACTTGAAACTTCGATCCACGCTCCTCAAATCTTTTTCTCCTCGTCTTGGAATGCTCAAATTGATATCACCAAATTAATATATATGCTCGGAAATGGTTCGCGTGGCTCGGACATGATTCGGACGGCTCGGAAATGTTTCGAAAATGGCTCGTAATCCCAAACTCAACTATTGTGGACCTACACAACACCAAAAAGACAAGAAAAATACGCAAAACACAAAAACACAATACGAGAATAAAAATGCACGAAACACGATAAAATGGACCGGTCGACACTAAAACAGACCTAAAAATACTAAACTAAAGCACATAAAACACACGAAAATAAGCACAAAAACACAATAAACAAGCGGCACGCGCACAGCAATAGGAGCTCGCCACTCGCTGCGAGCCTTCACTCGCGAGCCGCGAAACGCGCACCTTCGCCAGCCCTACGCCCGGCACTCGCTGCGAAATTGCTTTGGTGACCCGCGAAACGCGCCAAACTGCACTACTCCATGCCCACACTCTCTGCTAAACTGGTTTCGACACCCGCGAACTGCAGAATTTTAGTAAATGTGTGTGTTTTTAGTGTGTGTTTGTGATGTAGCTATAAATAGATATTGTGCTTTGTATTTTTGAAGACAACCCCTCATTTCCTAACTTTTAAGTTGGGAAATCCTCTCTATTTTCTCTCTGTTCTTTTTATGCTTTGGTTTGAAGGTTCATAACTCATTTTTCCGGTGAAATTCCGGCAAGCTTATTTTTATCTAAGTTTCGAGCTTTATTCATTGTTTTCGTCCGGGCACGCGATAGGAGAGTATGTACCTTGCTTAGGACTTACTACTTCGAGTTTGTTCTTCGAATTTTGTGTTTATGCTTGTTTCTAGGTTTTTGCTTTTTTTTCATTGCTTGCCTCGTGTGTTAGAAATCAATACGTGCTTATCTAGTATAAAGGTCTCAACTTTGTTCAAAGCGTGATGATTTAGTGTAGAAAGCTCGTGTTCGGTTACTTAGGATCACTATGCTCGCATGTTTTCTCTATGTTTATTTTTGTTTTCTTGAGTTATGGATACTTCATGCTACCAAAGTTTCGATCTTTCTCACCAATCTTGCATTTTAAATCATTTGCTCTAGATTTTTGTTTAATTTCATGCAAATCTAATCCCTTTAAGCGAGTAGAATGTGTAGGACCTTGTTTTCAGTTATGTGATTTTGACGACTAGGTAATGAACAAAGCTCCGAACAGCATTCCTTTGAGAACGACCTGAGTCGGGTAGCTCGGTTACCACATACCCACAAAAACTACAAACAATATTGTTAGAATATACACTGGTGAGTTGTCCCACATTGATTCTATAGGAAAAATGAGTCTAGTATATAAGCCTAGTGGGCTACTCCTCCCATCACCAATTGGTTTTGGGATGGAACCTCACTATGGTGCAACTAGGCTCACCCTCTTATTTTGCGCTTCATCTGGTGGGACCGCACCCTCTTCCCCCGATTATATAAATCTAATATGGTATCAGAGCGAACCTGTTATAAGATCTGCAATGACTTTCTCTAGCCGGCCTGCTCTAGGCTTGGACTTATCTCTCTACCCGAGCTCCTCTGATGGCTTGGGCTTACGAAGGACTCAAAGGTGAGAAGGCATGTTGGAATATCACTTGTGAGTTGTCCCACATTGATTTTATAGGGAAATTGGGCTTAGCATATATACCTAGTGGGCTACTTCCCCATTACCAATTGGTTTTGGGATTAAACTCACTATGGTGCACCTAGGCCCACCCTCTTTTGGTGCGCTTCATCTGCGTGTGACCGCACTTTCTTGCCCAATTCTCTAAATCTTACATATATGATGTAAATATATATTATATAATGCAAACTTAATTAAGGAATTAATATAGATTGTGATTAAAAAAAATCAAGGGTCCCCACGGAAAAGGTAATTTATTTATTTATTTATTTTGNGAAAAAAAAAAAAAAAAAATTATTACTCAGAGAACAAATCAGATCCCTCTATAAATGGTCTGTGGTTAGCTGCCTTTGATTGGTTAGGATACTGCTGTTTTTTCTTCGTAATTTAATTAGGAAAAATAACCTTTTTTGTTAAGATAATAATTATATATAACCATTAATTATTTTAGTATTAATATCCTGATGTTTCTTGTTATAAGTAAATAATTTATTATGAATACAAAATTCGACCCCGCTCACTTGATTGATTTCTACCTTATGTCCGTTGTTTTTCCCACCTATTTCACCAATGATCTGTAATGCAATATAAACTAACCTCCAACAACTCCAAACCAAAAGGGAAACGCAAATAACATAGGTCAATGTCAAACCAGAAATATTTATCAAGTGACAAAACCCCAAAACAAATAATAGCTAAAAAACAATACAGCAAAATTTGAAGAGAGTAGGTAAAGCGAGTAAATTCATTCCCAAAAAAATACACAAATTCCCAAAAGAAAAATAAAATTAAATAAATAAATAAACTGTGGGCCCCACTCCCCCCATCACAAACCCCAAAATACACCTATATAAAACCTCCCACATATTCCATTTTAGATGTAAGAAACCATAAAAAATATGAAACCTCAAAAGAGAGTGAATTTTTTTCCCAACGTTGTCAGACAAATATTTTCAAAGATTTGAGAAGAAAAAAAAAATACTCTTACGTAAACAACACAAAAAACAGAGGGAAATAGAAAATAAATAAATAAATAATGGAAGAGAGAATGCGGTCGGTGCCGAGAAGGCAGACGAGCCTGGGGAGCATTGGCCGGAGCTTGAGCCGGGGGGTGGAGGAGGTGTTTTCCGGCGGCGGCGCCGGCGGGACACCTCAGCGGCGGAGCGCTCGTGGGGAGGAGGACGAAGAGGCCCTCAGGTGGGCGGCGCTGGAGAAACTGCCGACTTACGATCGGCTGAGGAAGACTGTGCTCAAGTCGTTTATGGAGACTCCGACTAACGGGAGCCTGAAAGTTGTTCACCGGGAAGTCGACGTGAGAAAGCTGGACATAAACGAGCGGCAGGAGTTCATCGACCGCTTTTTCAAGGTGGCCGAGGAAGACAATGAGAAGTTTCTTATCAAGCTTAGGGACCGTATTGATAAGTAAGTTTTATTGTTATTATTATTATTATCAGGCTAAATTACAAAATATAGTCAGTATTTTGTACGCGGTAACAATAATAGCCACAATCTTTACGAACTGACACTAGTAGCTAACGACCTTAAAAATTTCAGGGTTATTAACTGTTTTCGACAAAAATCGAATGCTAAATTGCAAAATATAGTTATTATATTTTACGCAGTGGCAATAATAGTCACAACCTTTACGAATTGACAATAGTAGTCAACATGATGTTTTAAAATTTTATAGTTAATACCCAATTTTAGCCAAATTCAACAGTTAAATTGGAAAATATAATCAGTATCTTTTACGCGGTGTCGATAATAGCAGTCAGATTTGGCCGGACTTGAGTAATTACCATAGAAGTTTAAAGGTTGTTGGCTATTATTGTCAATTCATAAAGATAAAGACTATTATTACAACAGAATACAAGATACCTACTATATTTTGCAATTAAACTTTCTTTCTTATTATTATTATCATCGTTGTTGTTGTTGTTATTTTTATTATTATTATTTTTGTTGGTTTTTTTTTATGTTGTGCTTGAATTTGATTTCTTTGTATCCAAAACTAGTGGAAAATGGAAGATAAATTTGATTGCATGTTTTCCATTGATGCCATTAATCGTTATAAGAAAATTTGTTTGGTGATAGGCATATATGGTAATTGATAAGGGAGACTTTTTTTAGAGTAATTGACAAAATAGCTTTATTGATACTTTGAATGAAAGATTAATTTCACTAATTAGTGGTGTTTAAATTTATTTAGAAAGAGGGTAATTAGTAAATGTGTGGTGAGTATAAACACCATAATAAACACGAATATTAAATGTTGAATGGATTTTGTAGGGTTGGTGGATGTCATTTTAATTGGGTAAGATATAGTACTTGAGGTTGAGGCGGTGATAGATATATATTGGAAAATGAAGAATGATCATTTAATTACCCAAGAAGTATTCACACTTGGTCATCAGTAGTACTGTTAAATAATTTAATTTGAATGAGTAAGAACACTTTTTTTTTTTGGAGATCTAAAGTAATAATAATAATTTAAGACTAGAAAAAATATCCTTACCTAAGAAAGTGTGTGTAAATTCTGAAGAACATATATTTNCATAATAATAATAATTCAAGACTAGAAAAAGTATCCTTACCTAAAAGTGGTTTTAAATTCTAAATCACATATACTTTCCTATGTTAGTTTCCTCTCAAGGTTGAAACTTTAGTGCCATATATAGGTCATATGTACCTATAACCAGTAAAAAATTGATGATTCAAAATTGACCTCTTCACACCAATTATCACATTCAACCACACAATTGATACTTTGGCTCTTTCTTGAACCATATTTAAAGTTAAATCTACTAAATGTAGTTATATAACCTCAATCAAACACACCTAAATAAAAAAAATAAAAATAAAAAATTACTCTCGGTACGTTTAATTAAATTTTTTTGACGATCTTTATAATTTGCAGAGTTGGTATTGATCTTCCGACAGTTGAAGTAAGATTCGAGAACCTGACTATTGAAGCTGACTGCTTTGTCGGCGACAGAGCACTACCGACACTTCCAAACGCGGCCCGTAACCTAGCCGAGACAACATTGGGTTGTTTTGGAGTTAGGATGGCTCAAAAGACTAAGCTCACTATACTAAAGGATGCCTCAGGCATCATAAAGCCCTCTAGGTATTAGATTAAACACTTCAAAAAAAAAAAATTAAAAAAAAAAGGTAATTTGCAAGAGAGTCTTGATATTTGACCTAATTGGTAAACGAAATAAAATAAAAAAATAAATAATTGACTATTGATATCTGTTTTTTCTCGATTATGTCAAACTTAAAGTCACAAAGGGTACTCTTTGAAGTCATCCCTTAAGACAATGTTGGTAAAAGTTAAATGTATATTCTTGCTTGATTGATTCAATATTTTTATTGGGGTTAATTAAAATATCTTACGAATTGAATTTGTGTGGTTAAATTGTGACAGGATGACACTATTGTTAGGACCACCGTCCTCCGGTAAAACAACCCTTTTGTTGGCTCTAGCGGGAAAATTAGACCCTACTTTAAAGGTTCGATAGTTTGGTTTTATACCTTTTTTTATTATTATTATTATTCTTTTTTAGACTATTCTCTAATGATATACGCGCAAGAATCTTGAAAGGGCTGAAATCCGGTAACCAAAATATAAGAAATATAAGAAGAAAAAGAATAGTTATTAGGAAAATAATATCGAAATATATAATTTAGAGACAGTTGGCACTGAGTAAAATTAGACAAGATATGAATTATTAATTTCTATTTTGGTGTAGAGTCACGTTTTAAGAGGGTGAGTATTATTCTGCGCATATATCATATTGTTTTATTGAAAATGATTCAAGATGGTCTTTATAATTTTTGAAAGTTAAGTGATTCTCTGAAAAGTAGAGAAACCGAATGGGTACGTGGGGACTTATAATGAACCTCTAATTATGATATAATACCTTAATTGACATTTACTAGAGG